GTGCAGACCAGTTCTACTAGCATATCTCCTGAACCAATGGGAATCGGAGTTCAGACAACTGCTAGTAGCATGACTCCTGTACCCTTGGGTCTTGATGTTCAAAACAGTTCTACTAGTGTGTCTCCTGCACTCTTGAGTCAAGGCATGCAGACCAATGCAACTAGCTCGAGTCCTTCAACTTTGGGTCTTGGTGTGCAGACCAGTTCTTCTAGCATGTCTCCTGAACTAATGGGCATCGGAGTTCAGACAAGTGCTAGTAGCATGACTCCCGCACCTGTGGGTCTCGGTGTTCAGACCAGCGCTACTGGTATGTCTCCGGCGTCCTTGGATATAGGAAGTCAGAACAGAGGCATGGGCGCACCCCCTTCTCCACAGGGTCTCGGAGATCAGACCAGTGCTACTAGTATGTCCTCTGCACCTGATATAGTGATGTCTGGATTGGATCTTCTGTTCCTGGCTAGCACAGAGCACAGATCTAACCCTTCACTTGATATGCCGAGAATGGACGAGTCACTGTGCTGCCAGCAGACTCAAACTGTCTTTGATACTGACACTGGCCACCAGGAAACACAGACTGCTTGGGACTGGAGCCTTGATGAGTTCTCCTTCCTTGACCAGTATACCCAGACAGCCTTGAGTTCTAGTAATTGCACCAGCAGTACTACCACCATGCCCGAGACAGATCAGTTCTGCCAAACAGGAATGGACCTTTACTCACAGTTTGCCTTCTCCAACACCGAGACACAAACAGTATCTGTCTTTGACCTGGAGATGTTTGGCAACTCCATCTCTGTCCAGACAGAGACAGGATCTGGATCCAAGCACCTTGAAGGAGATGGTCTGAGTGAGATGAGTAAGCAGGTCCAGGTCTCCACAATGGGATCCCAGCAAGAGAGGGTCAGTGCAGATGTCCAAACTGAAGACCTGGACTTCAATAGGCTTCGGAGCAGACAGATGGGCAGTGGTCAACTGGCAAGTAGTCACACACAGACATCCTTATGGGAGGACATTGAATCGATTATCAGGTCGGATAGCTTTACACAGACACAGTTCCCTTAGAAAACCAAAAAAATTACTGTTTTTCTTCTGACCCCTTCCAGATAATCTGAAGTTCTGGTAATTGAATTGCATTTGCTAAAGAAACTCAGCAAACTAGAAAAAACTTAGTAAGGGTGGGCTAGTACTACGATTTTGTTACCTTTCGTTGATAATCATGAAGCTATCATGAACTTTCTACTAAAATTGTTTGTCAATAATCATTTACCAGAACTCAAAAGAATTCTCTACAATGTTCCCTTCCTCTGCTATGCAATATGCTTTGGTACCGTTCACATCAAAAAGTATAACTTTGAGAATTTCTGAACTAGATTATTTCAAGTCTTCTTCCTTTAAAGGGACTTGGTAACTTTGTTCAGATGAGAGATAGTGGTGCTAAGGTAGTGACTTCAATGCTAGATGTACAATTAAAGATAATCTGAAAATTTGAGTGAAAACGGATCATTATTAATGATTAGAATTGGGAAAAACTGAGCTGATCCATTCCTTAATTCTCCCAACTCTATTATTACAATTTAATTACATTTTGGGTGAATGTAAATTGTCACAAAGCAATAAATTGGATCTACATACCATTCCAGACATTTAAGTGTTGACAGATTTTTAATAGCCTGTTTTTTGTCTTTTTTTCATGGGAAAACGGTTGGGAAAATTCAAAATGGTTGGCAGAATTTACTGTTAATCACTGTAAGAGGGTATTGCACAGTAACGCCTTCAAAGAAAACCATATATATCTTTGCGGTTTGAGAATTTTTTCAGGAATTTTTGCATGTTAGAGGGTTAGTACAAAAATTAAGTAATTTTTGTCATCAACTTTCAACAATGTTACCGAGTCACTTTGATATAAGTATGACATTTTTGGTCACGAGGAAAGTGCATCCTTTTGCGTAACGGTGGTCTTTTCCTGATTTTTATAGAATAGAATGGATTAATGGATTTTTTAAGTGCTATAGGTTAGCAGATCTATGCTTGCATTTAATATTAGCTTTGGCTTTAGACTATGAAGTTAAAATAAACTATAATACTATGCAAGAGTGTGAAATCTGCTAGTAGACAGTACTATGTAAGGCTATCTTTTATTCCAATTAAATTATGAATATCGCTGCAAATTGTCTTCGCGTTCAATGAATGGCATATTCCCGATCATTGACTATATCATATTTATCTAGGAATGTATTAATATGCAATGTAGGTCTTATGCTTACATAGTTTAGCCTTATCAATTTATTATTATATTTATCTCATTTAAAAGTACACAATATCTTTAACAATAATCTGATTTGTGCAAACTATTCTCTGTTTTCTTAATGATAATACATGTATAGTATGCATTGTATTTGTAGGGTAAATATACCTACCGTAAATTAAACATTAACAAAAAGTACCAGAGCACAGAGACAAAATTTAAAGATTTGGAGAGAAACAAAATACAAAAAAAATAATTTAAACAAATGATTAGATCAAATTAGATTTTAGTGCCAGACTTGTGCTCATATTATTGATTTGTATTCATTTTCAATTTATGTTACATCATGTCATGTATAAGACCTACAATTTAGGTTTATTTCAAAGAGACAATCTTCTCAAAAGTTTATTCATATTCATATATATTTATTTATATATTTGTAGCAAATATATTTGTTTCCCAAGGCCAAGAGTGAAAGCTTATTTGATTTAAATAGATGTTAATATTGTTTATGAAAGAGAGTTTAATTTCCTTTAGAACTGACACATTTTTATTTTAAACTAAGCTTATCAATATATGGTGTTATGAATATTGATATAGACTATTTTAATTTGTAGAGAAGATGGAAAAAGCAGAAACTGTAAATGTTGATTTACATATATATTTAGTAGGCTTCATCTTGCTTATTTATGGTTTGCTATCCAAGCATAATTTTTGTTGTTTTCTATGCTGTGCACATTTCAACTCAAGTATGCAAAAGTATTGAATCACTTTGTCAATGTAATAGGTGGAGCTATCTGGCTGTTTGCGTAGGTAGAGATCCATTTTTTTTGCTGGGGATGGATGTATTTGGGTTCAGTCAAGCAAAGAAAAGTTATATTTGTAATAAGTTGTTGAAATTTAAGGGGCATTCTCTCGTGAGGAGGGCAGGGGGGAGGGGGGTTACAAACATGAGACTATTTTTCTTTCAAAACATGTTCTATTTGCTTCTTGTTGCTTATATTAATAACATATATGCTTTAGTAAAAGTATATAGTGTACCGGTATAGTAGCGTATATATGGCTGAACAAAGTATGAAATATATTTGTATATATACAGTGTTATAGTGCAGGTCCAGATATTGAAGGGGCACCAACATCACTTAGGAGGGGCACTGGTTTTACTTTCTGAATGAAATGTGAATTAAAAGGCTATTGATTAGGAATTTAGGATTGATTAAGGGATGGGTGTGGAGAGGAGTTGTATCATCTTCCTGTTATATTTTCCAAAACTTTCCTTATCCCTCTCCCTTTGTTAATTTCGACTTTCTTTTCTCCACCTTTTTGTTCTTTCTTATTCTCACCATTCACCCTCTGTAGCTATGCCACTGTATGTTATGTATGATATTTTGTTTGCATATTTACTTTTTTATGAAAATGTATTTTTACAGTTCACTTGATAAGATTTTTGCTGAATCTATTTGTATAGTATTAGTAAACGTATTCAATGCTATTTATTTTTCACAGAATTGCGTAAATGCATAGTGTTTATAGAAAAAAGATTTTAAGTTGTTGTTCCTGTCGTATTTTTTTGTTGTTTAAATGTTAAACATTATTTTTTAGATAATCATGCTTCCTGATATTTGTATTCGATCTACCTTTGTTTCTCTACCTTCGTTTCTCTCTGCTTCTATCTTTCTATCCAAGCTTTTTATATCACCTCTTACTTTTTTTCTGGCCCATATCTCTCCCTTTCTTTATCTCTATCTCAATATCTTGTCTCTCTTCTTTTATGGATTCTTTGTAATTACAAAGAATCCATAAAAGAAGAGAGGTAAGATTACCTGTCTCTTATATTTATGCTCCTTCCAAAACGTCTTTCAGGAATCTTTACATAACGTTTATTTACAAAGACACAGAACATACAACCCCTCATCATCCTTCAAACAAGGGCAAAGTCCAATTCAACCATGAATCGATAGAACCAGTCAATTAAACAATCCACTGCCAGTACACCAAGGCTGCGTTCATTTCTTCAGAAAACCATCAACCTGTCCATGACACACCCCAGTAATTCCTTTCAACCATGTGATATCTACCTCCTCGACGCTATTGTCACTCTCCCTATGGAAACAGTAGACCAAGGAAGGTCTACCTTTTCTTTATTTAAGGTTCAAAGCACACACTAGAAGCAGGATTTTCTCAGAGTCTCTCCTATGTTCCACTGTCTAATGGGGATAAACCCTTACAGAATTTGTTTGACAAAAGCAGAACAAGCAATCGGATTAGACGAAAAAGCTTTCAATGAATCCTTTTCATCACTCTGCTAGGGAGATGTAATGTTTATCGACCTGTAGACTCTTATATTCAGCACAGGGCCTTAAATGCATTCACAAACTTATTGATTAATACATATAACGTGTACATGTATTCTTAATCCTATGAATTTAAAACGTTGCATACAAAAAACGTCATGTGTAGGCTCTTAAGTTATAGTTGCAGAGAGAGAAAGGGGAGTTTCAGATCATGATATACATCAACTCTCGCCTGTATCTTCCTTGTTACCCTTTTATCTAGACTTCTTTAAAAAAAATCCTACATCCTAAATCCCAGTCAACCACATTCATTTACATAATCATCCAACACTAAACATACATTTTCAATACCAAACTACAACACGGCTTCTAAAGCTAATGCAAACATACATACTCCAGCTAGCACTTCATCAGAATAAAAGAAAAATCAAAACCAAACGAAAATACAGTAACAAATATAAGACTGAATTTTCCATGACGAATTTATTTGAATCTTACATAAATTAAAGACACAAATTTAGATTTATAACAATTAACAACCTCCAAAAGGCTGCTCGATCTGTGTACAAATAGGTGGTATCAAACAAAGACACTTGATTGTTGTTGGAATGAATAAAATTGTGTTTCATCTGATATAAAATAGGAATGAAATGTGCATAATGAATCAATGTGGACGGATCATAGAGAAAGACCAATCAAAATTGGAAAGACATTTGTGAGCTATAGCACGTATGATTTACAACCAATATCATCAGATAATTACACCTGTGTGATTATACCAAATCATATATTTTCAACATTCAAATAACATTAACAAAACTAATTGCAAACTCAAAGCTTAATTAGCAGCTGCAGCTACAACATTTTTGTATAATAATCAATCAAGGTCTGCATAATACAAGTTTATATCAAATGCAAGATGCTGCTGAATGACCTGTAAAAACTTACACCTTGTATTTTTAAATCTTAGTACATGTATGAAGTATATTCAATATTTTACTTGACACTGTACAGAAAATACTTGAAAACATGATGGATATTGTAACAGTACCAACTATATAAAACAAAATATTTGTACCGGTACTGCATATTTTATGACAACATACAAATGTATATCGGTACACAAATGCTACAAATAATAAAAAGTCATTGAAATGAAAGACAATAAGGGATAACATGTAACGTACAAAAGCTGTTATCTGTATACCTTTCTAATTTTTCTAGTAAAACTTCTTCTAGAAATACTGGAAGTAATAATGTGGCAGGAATAATTAGACAATGGAAGGAAGTTTGGTGTACATAATCAAGAGAAATATAATTGTGTGGATGGCAAAGACACAAGCTGTTATCATGGACACCTTTCTAATTTTCCTAAAAATTAAAAACTGCATAAGAAGTAACAAATCATGCTAAATATTGATCCATTTACTATCAACTAGAAATCAGCAGTATTCCTATTGTTAATTATATGCCTACCGGTACATAAGCATGTACCGGTATGTAAAAATATGTAATTAAGGTTTCATAGAAAATTGATTGATCAAATTTCAAATGCATGTTGCATGAAATTATGAGCTACCGGTGTACACATATTTAACCTGCACTCGTTTAGACCTTTTTTGGCCAAAGTTCATAAAAGCAAAAGATCAAAGGTCATCTATATTTTTTAATTTTCTTACTGACAAAGAGTGAGATATATTCAGATCTAAGTAACCATCGTGATATTTTTTTGATGAAAGAAAATGATTTTTTTTTTCATCTGATCTACAGATGTCAGCCCAAAATTTAAGTGAAGCAAAGCAATAAAAGTGCATTCACTCTCCTTTCATTTTTTTTAAATTACACACATGTCAATTGGAACAGAACAATTTGAAAGTGCTCTGAACTGGGCAACCATCAACACATCCTTCATTTGATGCAATTACTTCCAATAAACGCATCATTCATTACCTGCTAATCTTTTAAAATCAATTACAGGTGCATCCAGAAGTATGGATGAACTCACTAATTAGCAAAGCTTGAAGTCGTATTTGTTGATCCTTTACTGCAGAACAAGCTGCACCGGGTTTATTACCAACCGCTCGATTAGATCTGCCTTTAGAGGGTTAATGAGCAGTGTGGATGTCATCGTTGTCATGGTAACACAGGACTTAATGGGTAATGCATGGATACGAGCAGGTGGAAGGTCATTCAGTTTGTTTAACGTAGCAACAGAATTTATGCCCATCCAGATAACTTCTGTTAAACAAGGCAATGGTAAAGGGTGTACTCCCTTAACAAAAATATAATCTGAATTATCTGAATCTTTTGAATCTCCTTTCTGACAAATAAAAGCAATAAAGAACAAGTAAATAAGTAATGCACAATGTTTTAAAAAAATCATTACGGTCAAAACATAAATTTCCTAATTTTCTTATCATTTGAAAGCACCGAAAATTGTAGACAACAATCATGACAAATTTAAGTCTGCATGGTCTGGAACAAATGCTAATGTTGGTCTGGGAGAATAATCACTGAAAGATACATTGCCGACATGTATTGAACTGTTGACTATCCAAAAAAATAATGATACCACAGCTTATAATTCTGAGATAAGAACGTTCGTATACTGAAATAAATGTATCTCCAATGATTTTTAGAACAAATTCTAAACCTAATAGAGAACTGCATTTAACTCATTCGCAAAAATGGTTCTCAAAATATGATCGTGGGAAACCAGATAACTCTGAATTATGATGTTCTCTTGAAACTAGGTTGAAACTGTCAAAATTCAAAGCTGAATTTAAGAGAATTTCATAATATCAAATAAACTTAAATCTAATTAATGCAAGATTAACACATAATTTCACAAAACATCCATGACTTTGACTAGTACAATATCTGACTAACAACACCATCACATTTAAGTCCACTGCATGAGAGGGTATTAAATTAGTATATAATTGTAAAAGCAAAAAAACTATGCAGCAAAGTGAGGAAACACAAAGTACAATGTCGGGTTATTCTCTTTGGTTAGTTGAGTTTGAAGGTTGATTCAATCCAAATTGATTCATGACTATTGTCATGTTTTTAATTATCAACATGTCGCTAGCTGGTGAATAGCAGTGACAATGAAGCATTAAGGAATATTGATTATTCATGCCAGGCTAGCTCACGAGTCCTCACACTTGCTATCTAAGTCATTGTACCAAACAGGTCATGATATTGATTAGAACATTTGCTTTTAACCGATCTCACAATGTACTATACTGCATACATACCGGTACAATGTACATGACATTACAAATGAAGTCCTACAGCAAGGTAAGGGCTCTTTAATGATGCACACAAAGTAAGCTATCATTGTGACTGCCAAATTACAGGAAATTCATGAAAAGACAAGGTTTGAAACTCCACGAGTCAAATAATTGCCCTAATTGCCACTCAAGGAACAAATTCCACTAATAATGATTGCACTAATTTGGAAATGTCACAAAAATACAGCCACATGGTCATAGATGGATGACATGCAGGGTCGATCATCAAATTTTTGTTTGAAGAGTACCTGGTAACAGTCGTTTTCTCTCCACTACTCTGATCACATTTTATCCAAACATGAAAGACTGAAATTTGTTTGATATAGTAGCCCATAGTTGTAGAACAAAGGAAACTATTAGTTTCCTTACTTATTTATACAAAAATGTGATTAAAAATGGTTATTATCAAAAACACGGTATATAGACAATAAATATTGTGAATAAGTATTCTTGAAATGGATGGAACCTCAGTATGTCCATGGCTGTGGCATACAATGTTGTCTGTTCAGAGCCAGGAGGGCTTTGACTCTGCGTTAAAGTATGTGTCCTTCTGTCTAGAGCTAGATACCAAATGACAGTAGTGAAATGCAGTATGTGACTATATGTGCAAATTTTTCAAATCAACTTTAAAGCTTATCTGCCATAGTTTACAGGAGGGATAAGACCACTCTGCAAGGTCACTGGACAGGTGGTTATCTCATCAACTCAGCTCTCAGTTAACATAAGAAAAAGAGGATCATGGGGGACCAATGGTCACCGATTAGGCATTGTTTGTTATATAGAGGGCGCAAGTAGCTACCAGTAGTGCAGTGGGCCTTTAAAACAATGATATGAATGTATACAGATGAAAATTATTTGTTGACAATTAAACACACCATGATGGACATAACCAGGAGATCTATACATTGTATGCAATATACATGTATTGTCTACTGATATCCACAGGAGCCACTCAGCATACCGGTAATTGAAAAGTTGGAAACATCATGTACTTTTTTATTTCTTGTGAATAACATTTCATTATAATCACAAGTACCGTAGCCTAATTTGTACCTAAAGAATACTTTCCCAGCTACACATGCTTTGTATGACTGGAATATCTGAATGACTATCAAATTGCAGTGCCTGATCTATTGCTTGAACTTCCTAATAGTTATTTTTTTAAAGTTCAGATTGAGAGGGAGACAGAGATAAGGGACGGGAGATAGTAAAAGCCTCAGGAGGAGGCAAAAGAAATGTACATTAAATGAACCGATACATGTAGGACTACATTCATTACTAAACATCTCAGTTAATGTTGAAATAACAAGGAAGGCTCATTTCATTTGAAATCAAAGAATTCTTTGGGAATATGCTGGAAGATTGAGTTTATGTCCACTGACTCCAGGCAGCAGTTCTGCGGCCATGGCCCCTGCAGTCTCTCTGTCCATCACACCACGATGCAACGGATCCCCCAACTTAGCCCCTGTTTCACCAACACTATTCACATACCCTGCTCCAAGCTTGAATTGTTTAGGCTTTCCTTGCTTCCCTTTGTTTTTGTTCTTCTGGTCTTGATCTCTGAGCAGTTTGCTAACATTAGCAAGCTCTTGTGCGAGGGGGAATTCTTTGACGGACGTTGGCAGAGGCATGGCTTTACCGTTCACTTCTGCAAGCATTGATCTATCTCCCCTGCTTCCCATGTGTGGTGCAGACGAGCGTTCTAGGAGGACCTTAAAGGATGGAGAGTGATCTGGCTCGGATTTTGCACTGGATGGTTTGCTTGGTATCTTCTCTATAATGCGATCATAGAACAGAATTTCATTGTCATCGTGAACCTGTCTTTGATAAGGTGTCACTTTCTTGAGAGGATTGAGAGTGAGGTCAAGAATGTTATGGGGAGTTACTTGAACAGAATGCGTTGGGAATTTCTCATAGCTGTTGGTTGGACCACTTCCCATATTCAAAGCATGAGTGAGTTTCAACCGCGGGCTTTCTCTCTGGTTTGTGACATGATCGTTTTGCCCATTGCTGACCTTTTCCACTTTCCTGATAGGCAGGATGGGAGTTGGTTGACGCTCAATCTTTGATCGAATACTATCATCTAAGCCCTTGCCTTCTACACCTTTCAGTGTATTGAATGTAACCCTAGCATCCTCCTCATCCTCTGGTGATGATTCATCCGTCATAAAATACAAACCATCTCCAAGTCCACGTAGCTTTCCACCAACTTTCTTTTCTGATGAACGCTGCTCCCTCCTATCTCTTCCAACGGATGTCTTTTTAGCAACATACTGTCCCAGCTTGGCATGTTCTTTGATCCCTTTAGACGTCTCCTTCTTGGCATGATTTAATGTTTTCTCTAAATACTCCCGTAATTTCATGATATGATTAGAGAAACCATCCTCCTCGACTGCTCTCTCAAGGGTCGCTCCGCTGTAATACTTGAGTGTTGTGTGATGCAATCCTTTGGGGTCATACACATACCTGTATGTCCTCGGTTCCACACAGCGCTTCCAGGAGTCGTCCACAACTGGCTGCTGATGGTGACGTCTCCCTCTATGCCTTTTCCCTCCACCATGATCCTCTACTTCCCGCTTCTTAGGAGCTGCAGGAGCATCTCCCCAGGCATACTTCACAAAAGGCTGCGTGTCATCCCATCCATGCACTGCTAGGTTCCAATCATTACATATTATCCGGTCAATATAATCCCATCCTTCGTCTGGCTCCTCGCTGACAGCCAGGAGGTTGTCCATCCATATTCTCTCATCGTCCTGAGTAACGACATCCTTTACACAGACTGTATCCGTGTTCTGGGGGTACCTTAGATGGGTAGCATTAATCCCTCCCTGTTCCATTGCAGCGCTTGGGATGACAGGGGCTCCGTCTTACATTGGATGCTCCCATATCTCTTAAAATCGTTCACCTGGAATTAGATAGATAAACATGTACAAATGTATTAAGACATGTATCTGTACAAACAAAGCATCTATACAGTGTATACCTAAAGGTGTATGTACAATGTGCATACATAAGTGACAGTAAGCATCCACTAGACCGAATAACTGCACTTACATGTAAATTAAAATACAGCCAGAATTCTGGATTAGTTGAACTTAAAATGTTAATTAAATATAATAGCTTAATCACTAATAAAAAGTTTCAATTATCATATAAACACATAGCCTAGATTTCCTTAATTTATTTTATGGTGACCATTTGGCGTTTTTTTTTAGGTGCTAATAATCCATCTGTAAATTTAAACAAAAACAAAAACCAGTGACTTGTAAATCTTAAATTACAAGTCACTGTACTAGTTTATCAATAAATCAACTGTTTTTTCCGTTCTCCTTTACCAGTTTCTATTTCAGTATTCCCTGTAACAGTTTTTGTCTTCCAACTTTCATAAAATGAGAGAAAAGAAAAAGAATTGGTCTAAATGAAAACAAGCTAATAATGTAATTACACATAACTAATGGAAAGGCTGATTTGGAGAACTGCTCGCACTGACGCAGTCATATTCATATGACAAATAAACATAACAAACATCAGGTAAAGAAAAAAAAGGAGCAAAATGTAGATACAACTAGGCCAGGCCTAGGCCTACACCGAGTACAGGAGGCCTAGGCCTACACCGAGTACAGGAGGCCTACAACTCAAGTACAACTTCAAGTACAACTTCAAAGTTCAATCTCAAAGTTCAAGTTACAAATTCATATTCAATTTTTATTCAAGCTCTCAGCTCCCTCCCGCTCCCTGGCCCTGAACTTGAAGAGTGGAGTTATTCAACAGACATTTACCACCAACATGCACAACACGACAGACCTAACAAGTGCAAGCCCGACAAAATGCAAGTTGATAATTGCTATCGCACTGGTAAAATCTAGAGGAAATCGTCAATGATTTCTCTAAAGTGCAACACTTCAAACTTAGAAGTTAAAGACCTGTAAACGTCATAAAACACATTGCAACTTTTGCTGGCATGGCACAAAACTAAACCCACAAACTCGGCCACGCCGCGCCACACACACAGACGCCACCGTGCACCGCTGCCGAAGCATTAGGCGAGAGAGCGGTTTCCATAAGCGTCACTGGTCGCCAAGCTACGGACTAGATCTAGGCCAGGCACACATTTTGTTCGTTAATTTTATTCAATAAATCTCTTACCACACTCTGTCGAAACTTGCTTCCTAGTTGATTGCACCCAAAAAAGATTAAGACCACATCTATATTAAGACAAATGAATTAATGATTCCAATTGGCGCTGTAACCACCTGGCTAACATGTCAACTCTTATTCAATTTTTTACTTTCTAGCAAATATTGATAATTGATGGAAACGAATTTTTCTTTTGAATCTGTGCCGCCCTCACACGAGTTTCGCATGCCAATTAGAGGTCAGTGGTTGCATCTCTTGTTCTTGTGCAGCTGCAGTATCATGGACCCGGATGCGTCATGGAGAAAGGCTGCTAACATTTAATTAAAAAGAAAAAAACATGTTTAAAATGAGAGGTTGATGGGAATTAAGTTATAGATACTTTGATCTCCATTAAAAAGTAAGATACCGGTATAGGGCACTGGATCTAGACATTTATTGTACAGCTAGTATAAACCTATATTGCTTTATAAATATATATGTTTAGTTCAAACCCACTAGTACCAGTGTTTTTATGAATTGTTATAAGCTTTATTTTTATTCTGTATTTCTTTAACATCTATTTTATTTGTAAAATCAAAATTGCACATTGTACTTTAATGACAAGATTGCTATTAGATTTCTCTCTCTCTCTCTCTCTCTCTTTCTCTCTCTCTCTTTTGTTTTGTCATGTTTGGTAAACTTTAAAAACTCTATTTGCAAACACCTCTTATAAACAATAACCTCCTTGAGTATTCCAGATCAACACAAAAGAAATGAAAGAATGAAACAGAAATTGCACTTACATTAAATAATCAATTATCATTATTTATTGAACAGATTTTAATTACTTATACATGATATAATATAAGAAAAATCACTGCATAGCGGTAGAACAAGTAATTCATATCAATATATTTTTTCAGATTGATTTGCCCAATTTCCATATTACGTAAAACAAAACAAAATTACAGTCATTGATTTTGAAACAGAATATTATTTCTTTTGATTTGATTGTACACACATGTTACATTATCTTATTTTCAAGAGGCCCTGTGAAACTTTAAAAAACTTAAAAAACTAACAGTTTCAGAACTACAGTACATACAAATAAACATACAGTTGACCCCAATGTAAACTTTCTTGTGGATACTTCTTTCTTTATGCTAGCTACGTTTGGTGTAAACTCTAAAGCTGATTAACATAATGAATCTAGACTGAAATCATAACTGTCTTCAGTACCTGAAAAGTTCACACAATGCATTTTGAAGACATATGGAACATATCTATTTTATATATTTATTTTTTTCCCCATTGTATAGCAGTCTTTTCTAAAACTCCATATTTTCCACTTAAATTACTAAATTGGATAAATAACTCAGGAGTGCTTGCATTTTAGACATAATACCGAGGAGTTACATAAGTTTCCCCTTAGATAACTATCCATAATTTCTATAGTGTTATTTTCTCAACATATTGAACAAGGCAAGGACTATACTGTCTTACAACAATGAGCATAATAAAAGATAGATTTAAACCATTGAATATTGAAATATAGACTTAAATGTTAGATGATACCCTGTGTGTTTGTGACTTGCTGTCGATTGTGACATAAATTTCAGTCTTTCATTGGCTTTTAAGAAAGTTATAAGAAAATGATGAAAAAATTGCAGTATCCATAGACATAATATAAAACATATTCTGCAGTTGTGAGTCGGTCAAAGGAGGTGCACACCGTCTTATTTTTTGTTTGTTCGATCCTATGTTTGATCCTATGTTTGACCTCTTGTATGTATGTTTGATCTCACTCTTATCTTATTTTTTATTATTATATATGCATGATTTATTGAATAAAGAACAGATGTATAAGTTGTGTGTTTATTATAAGTTTTGGTAAATAATTGTTAAGTCAGAATATGGTGCGCTTAGAGACACCAGTATTAAGTGCCTTATAAATATTGTTTAATTTTATTATTATTATTAAATATCAAACATCAAATAATGAAAAAAGATATTACAGTTACAGAAAACAGTCTCATTCATGTAGCAGGAGAAAACAAAATTCAGAAATCTGTACTTTAAATTACCAGCAGCCATCTGTTTTCTATCGTAACACCCATGATTGTGTTTTCCCTAGAGACGATGGTGCACAAGAATACATATAAGTGCCTGAAATGTGGAATTGCACTTTAAATAGAATAAAACCATTTGGTCAAATAATTCATAAATAACATCTTTAATTTGTTTTAGTACCCTGCTCAAGGTAAACAGATCTTATTATTTATTTGAAGTACTGTTTGAAGGTAATGACTTTGTGTTTTCTTTAAGATAAATAATCACAAGGTTTGTTATATATGAGTACTATTACTACTAATTATATATAATACAAAGCTTATCAATTTTTACAACTTAAAGATAAAGTTGAGTTCTGGTCATGCGATTGCATTGTGAAAGAAACGGTGTGGAATCGACCAGAAATGGTTGATCATCTAGCATATAAGTATTGGAATCGTCAAAATGATAAGAAATTCGGCCCAGTCTTGGTAAAGTTACAAGCACTGTACACAGAAAGATGTATATGGGACTACATAAACATGTGGCATAAAAATCTGTCCTGACATATTTTTATCTGATGTTCTTCCACACTTGCATAAGACAATCATAATGCTCACAAATAATTTTTCACCTCTTCCCAGAACTCAACCTTCTCTTTAATCACAACCTTGTATAACGACTATAAATATTTGATCAACTGACTCTAACCATGACAATTTCCAATACCTTCCCTCAATACATAGGTCTGTAAAGGGTGTTTAAGAGAAGAAAAAGAAAGAGGTATATTTTGTAAACAATCTTGGGTACAGATGCATGAGCCTAATACTTTGCTTCTACATGTAAGTGTAGGCATTTCATGTAAGTAATGGTTTTGTGCTTAATTAATCATAAACAACTGTTAAACTGCCATTGTTTCGGCTACAGGTAATAGATTTGAGGTGCAGCCTAATTATACATGTAGGTTGGTTGTTTTAATTAAGTGCAACAACAAAAAAGTAGTCATACAGATTTTGGAGAAAAAAAACTGGCAAATCAAACAATCATCGAAATAAATCCATTTATGAACTTTAAATAACAAAAGCATTTCTTTCCAATCAATACAAATTGACAACCTAGCATTCAATTTTTCCACAAATTTGTTTTCTCTTTATTGCTTTGTCTGGGGCAAAAGCATGCTGAAGATGAGCATGTTATTGCAAGTATATACCTATTTCTCTCTCTCTCTCTCTCTCTCTCTCTGTTCATCTCTCTCTCTCTGTTCATCTCTCTCTCTCTCCATCTCTCTCTCTCTCTCTCTCACTTTGTTCAATTGTATGTTTCAAAATCTCCAAACCTACTTTACAGTTTCATGGTATATGCATGTCTCATCACAATAACCTAGAAGAGAGAGAAATTGTAATGGCATCAAATAGTTGTTCCCGCTTCAAAGGAGAATACTTGAAAGTCAGTTCTTTCTTCACAATCGTTGTCCTGAATCGTCTGTCTGAAGAAGCTTGCAGCACGGCAAGCGAAAGCTTATCTGAAAACAGGTAGATTTTTCTACTGATTGTGAAGAAAACTTATTTTTAAGTTACGTCACCAATCAGATGAACCTCTTCGGTGGTTGAAGAATAAACATAAATTCTTCCAGCAGCTTACAAGTCTTCTTCCTTAACAGTAAAAGATTCAAATGAAGTCCTTTTGTCACCTGTCTCCCACCATCCCTTGTCTGTTTCGTATTGACTGCCCTTGATTGGTTGGATAACTGACATAGCGACGGCTGTCTGGAAGTTTAGACCTTTCTCTTACAAAACCATCACTATCTCCTAAGAACTCCTTTTCATCAGCGCTGCAGTTTGACGAAAAAGATATAAGTCTAATTAATGTCCTGCAAAGTAAATATGAAGAATTTCCTTTACATTCCAAAGGAAAAAACATACAAATTGTACTATTAATACTTAAGATGATTAAGACAACATCAATGGTTTTCTGTAAAATAAAATATTGATAATACTTGGTACTGACTTCGTTTGTTCACGATACTGTCTTTGGTTATGACAGAGCAAAAAAGAAACTATGCATGTATACATTAAAATCATAAAGTTAAGCTTTAAAGGTACTACGTCCCTTTTGCAGCCAACCTCAAATTATGTAGAACTTTGCAGGAATTATTAATATGTCATGTATGTCCTATCTGTGAAATTTAAACGTTAGCAGTGTAGTACTCATATTCAAATTATGCAAGGAAACCCGTTTACTTGCTAGACTTCACTGTCAGACACTATTGAGTGACTGACTGGCCTTTTTTCTTCTTTGGTAATAACACACATGAAAAGAGTTGTAAAGGGTACATGAGCATATGTCTAAATCAATAACCCACTTCTTGTGATGGCCAAGATTAAACTGATTGAATCTTTGCGCAGCATAAAACATATGACCATTCGGTACAACTGTCTGAAAATCAAGACTATTACTTTTGGGCTCTATAGCCCTAAAGTCGATTTGACAACTAATAGTCATTATTTTCCCACTTGAAGACATTTTCAAGCCACACCTTTTTTAGGGAAGTTCTAAATTAGTATTATCTTTCAAACGCAGTTGGAATTTAACTTTTTCATTTTTTGGGCCTGCAAATGGGACATAGTACCTTTAAAGGGTACGAGCATTTAGCAAGTCTCATTCAAATATAGCTGATATCACAAGACCACACCTAAAACAAATATAATCAGTCTGATCTTCTACTTCAAGCGAGAACAAAAATATTCTAGTATGTTTACAGTTGATGATACATGGTGACTAACAGCGTGTCCATAATTTCATCGTATAACTATCCCAAAACGTTATAACTATACCGTTTCGGGATAGTTATACAATGAATTTGTTGTGTGTGGACACGGGGTTACAGTGTTGAGCACAGGTATTTTAGAAGCAATCATTTAGAATGTGATGTATTTGAAACTTAATTTGGTATTGTAAATGAAGCATTTTATATGCTGTATAATATCCAGTGACACTAGTCTATTGAATCTTTAACAAATTAAAGAAAAAAGGTCTTGAAATTGTCGGACTTTAAGCCCCTCTAGAGAAGTTGGGAGCCCCACAAATTTGATGGCAAAATTTCACTTAAATTGTATCATTATGTGAAAAAGGATGTCTTTTTAGACACGTTTCTGCAAGGATTTTCAAAACAAATGGGTCTGAAATCGAATATTGATGAAAGAATACAAAATATAGGTTTTATGCGTACAACAGATAACCCAAATTAAGTATTCTTTTATCAATATTTGTCTTCAAACACATTTTTTGGGGGGAAATCTTTGCATATGATATCCTCTTTCACATTATGATACAATTTAAGTGAAATTTTGCCATAACTTTTTTGGCGAATTTGGGGCCCCCAACATTTTAGAGGGGGCTTTAGTCTGGCATTGGAAATGAAGCATGTAATATGCTGTACAATATCCAGTGACACTATTGTACAGTGTATCTTTAACAAATTAAAGAAAAAATTCTTGAAATTGACTTTAACTTACTAGAGATGGGAACAGGCCATGACATAGTACATGATGAAACCAAACACAGTGAAGATGCCCGCAATGAAATAGGCAGCAGTTCTCGAGGGCGGCACCTGCACAGAGTCATGATATAGGAACATATTTCATTAAAAATAATAATAATAATAATACATTTATATATTCTACTGCGCTACAAGAGCTCCTGATATGCTTAGATTTACAGTTAATTGAAAAGATGTGCTTTTATTGTCATTGGAGAAGGAAATAGTAATGAATAATGCTTAAACAGAGATAAACAAGTAAAAGGCATGGAACTTGAATCATTGACTGCGATTTGAGATTAATGGTTTTTTTTTTCACAGTTGATACTTTGAACAATATTGCAAATCCCTATGGCTGGTGTTGCATTTTGCCTTATGAATTGTGGAATTGTGGTGACGTAAAACTTCCAACAAGGAACATATAAGCATGATGCAATGTTTGTATAAATACTGGTAGTGCCTTACCGGTAACTTGCTTTTTGTTACAAGACAAAATAAATTGAATTTGAAAACTTTGATTTATATTTTCTGTAGTTTTCTCCATTTGTCATTCTCATAGTATTGGCTTTGTATGCTGGTATTTATTGTACCGGTATATGAATCCATTCCCATTGTAAAGCAGAATTGGATATTCAGCAAAATTCAGTTATCAATTAGATTGTAGTTTACAGACTGTGATACTCTCTTTGTTGGGAAAACCATTTATAAGAAAATCTAACCACATTACGTGGTTGTGAAAACAAAACAATTCTCGCGTGAGAAAAAATGTCAAACTGATTGAAGGGCCAAACAAACTATTTGGTTAGTCTCACTGCCAAATTGTCACAGCAAATCTGCAAGATTGTAAACTACCCTGACTCTCATTTGAGGCAACTCAACAAATTGCTTTCCTTTACAAACTGTGACCAGACAGCAGACTTCAAAGACCTATCATCGCAATGAGAGTTGTATCGGCATAATTGTGCTTTTCCACTCCCTGGATCATTAAAGTTATCTCCTATTTTATATCTCACCTCTTTGTAAGGGTTCTCCCAGTATTTTTCACAAGTCAGAAATGAACACACAGTATCATCCAGCTTATCTGTGATCAACAAACCAAGGTAACAAGTCATGCAAAGCATTTAAGATTACATGAATTCATAAGAAAATACATAAATATATATTACAAGGAGCTATGTGATGACAGTTTGAAATAAGGCTTAATCTTTGTTAAACCCGAAGATCCATATAAATTCAATTAAACACGACCCTAAGTCCAAGATCAGGTTTGACAAAGGAAAAGTTAGACCTCGGACTAATTTTCTTTCTTAAATCCAATTCTGAACAAAAGCACGAGCCCGGCATCCAGTTTAAATTTGAGAATGACAAGGGCTCACTACCAAGAATTACAGTTTCATATGCTCACTACATGTTTACATTCTTTCATTCTTTCTAATATTTACTGATTTCTATGATATTTCATGATTCTTTTACATATCACCAGGTATGAATATTTGTTGGGATTCTAGACGATTACTTATACAATAAGGATGAAAAACTCAATAATTCAAAAAAACGCATGGTAGCGGGCTCTCATAGGAATTTGGGTGTTTACCCAATCACCAGGATTAGCCTTCAGTCTTATGACCAATACATGTAGGTCTTCTGTTATGCTTTCCATTTTCCATCCATCCATCCCCCCATATGTCATTATCGTATATTTCCCTCACCCAAAGACTCTCCGAGACGCTAGGGGGTATTTCTTGATAGGACTACAGGTTTGCTGTGTGCAGACTTGTACATCCATTAATGGGATTTCAGCATGTGGAAACTGGCGACCCTCTTCCTTTAAAAAAGGGTTTCTTGTAATTGGTTCATTATTTTGACTGAACTAGTGTTTTCATACAAGATATCATAAATGTACATGTAGTTGTAACTGACTGGATATGATCAAGTGTTTGTCATACAAGAAATGTCAAATAAAATAATGTAAGACAAACCTAGTAGGCTGTTTTTCTCTGCATCTGTTATGTGGGAAGGAATACATGACTTCATGATATTCTGTGTTGAGAAAAAAAAATAGAAACCTGCATTAGTTACGGATTTGATTTATCTTTTACAGGCAACTTCAACTGCCCATATCGGGAGCGCTAGGAGGGTCAAATCTGACTGACTTGAGCGCTATACAAGAATCCATTATTATTATTATTATTATTATATATTGCACATAATATAGCAAGTATAAAGTTTTAAAAAACATCATTAGACTGAACATAAACCATGTGGCTGGTTTAAATATTAATAAATCATCTAGACTATTATATTTACCTACACTTTGTGTATTTTGACCTACTCCCCGCATGAACTATGTGAATCAATCAATTCACAATATCACTTCTTTTATTAGTTTTTAAGTAACAGGATAGGATTTGTGTTCTTACACGTCAACATGAAACAAAAATATAAGAAGAAAGTCAATTGGGAGGACTCACCTGGCATTTCTTTCTGAGCACAAGGAGATCTTTTTGTTTACAGAGTGCCTCTTCCCAGAAAGAAGTCTTTTTAGTGCTGGCTATGATGTCACAGCGCAGGTAATCACAATGATCGGCAAGGCACACTGCTTCAGGTCCCTATAGAAAATAAAATGTAGGTCTCCTTTATCAAAATTATAACCATATTTAGTTTTGTACACAGTTTCACACAGATTTTCTAAAAGATTACCTTGGTTGTTTTTAACCAGATATTTGACCTAGGTAACTTCTTCTTCTTCTTCTTCTTCAAGATAATCTGCCTCCTTCAATACTGAAGATTCTTGCAGATGCCGTATATACTCAGCATGATTGGGGTGTGCAAGTGCACCACTACACCAGGGTTTCCACCTACTCTTATACGAATAGTGCAGTGGGTTCTTAACGTGCAAGGGTGGTGCTTCTCAGGTACACAGGGCCTCCATTTAACGTTGCATCCGAGGGACGGAGTGTTTTCCACTTAACATAGCCTGCGTCTATGAAACAAGGCGAGGGGCACGTTTAAAAAAATGCAGGCTTCAGTCATCTTTGGTTGGACAGGCAGACGCTTTACCGACTGAGCCAACTTGCCTCCCTAAATCAGTTCGTGTAGGAATGTATTTTTTGTTACCCCAGCTTTGCAAGGCACTCATTCAATACACCTTGGTCGAGAGAGACAAAGGTGGGCAAAACAACTTGTCCAAGGATGTTAGCACCAAGGAACGAGCAAACCCGGGACCTACCACTACTAGTATTTTTCCCTATTTTTAAAGCTTTTACTCACTGTCAATACTGTACTCCCATGTCTATTATCGTAATGTTTGTCCAAGAATTGCTCGTTGTAGAAGGATTTGCCGCAGTAGAGACAGTTCCAATTGTTTGCTATCTCTGACCACTTGTGTCTTTCGTCGTCCCAGTACATGTTCCTCTCTGGCTTTAGCAGACACTCTGTTCCAGGGCTTAGTTCTTCTTTCCGCATGATGTCTTGGAAAGACTTGATAAACCAGAAAGCAAATAAAAAATGGCACTTAACTGACCACTCATGATAATAAGAATAATAAGAAAAAAACTATCATTTTCAAGGCAAATATTATGGTACATTTAGCTTACCTTTTACACAGGTCCATTTATTTCTAAAACAATTTTGGAATGATAATTAACTACCAGTACTTCAAAAATATGTGATTTAACTTTTGAAAAAACATGAAAATCAATTAATGATGTTATGGGAATGAAGACTGCAACTCTGCAAGAAGAAATTGCAATACTGGATCCACATGCCAATTAAGTCAGAAATCTGATGAAATGTTTACCTTATCAAGGATTGACCTTGCCACCCTTGACCGGCTTCTAGAGCATCTGTTCTCTTCACATCTTACAAGCTGACCAAGTGTAACCTTATAATGGAGCAAAAATATTACCATCAGGCAAAAAATGTGGAACAGAAAATTAGGGTACATTCTTCATGATTCTTGTATATTTTTTTCACTCCCACACAGCAGATTGTGCCTAAAATATCATTTTCACCTATCCCTGTAAAGTATCTACATGTCACTATGTCAGTAAACACAATTTAAGTAGTTACAAAACTATAAGTATATCAAATACTGACTATTTGAATTAGATACATACACTTTACAAGAAACTAAAGCTTATAATTAAGGAAAGAAAAGGTAAACAAAACAGACTTTTTGATAGTACTTCTGTTGAAAACTTAAATCTTTTGATTAAAGCCCATCAACATTTTTTATGACATCACAATAATCAAGGTTTCACTTTTTAACACACATAATTGGGCTTTGAATATTTTGTGTACTGGCATTGGCAATTGTCATTGATTCACATTAAAACAACACAATTAAGCAGGAGGTATAAAATCTAAAAATCGAAAAATGTTTTGATTCCCAGACTGGCCAGAGTCAACGGGTCATAAAATTGATGCAAACGATTGGTGAAAAAAGCCATGCCAGAAGTGTTGCAAAATGCATCGTTTATCATCATCATCATCATCATCATCATCACCACCACCATCATCGTCATCCTCCTCCTCCTTCTCCTTCTCATTAGTGCTGTAACATCACGGATATCTCCAATTCCGTTTAACCGCCAGTCAAAACCGGACGGTTTTCGGTTAAACGATTTAAAAAAAAAAAAAAAAAAATTAAAAAAAAAATTTACTTTCATTTAACTGCGAGGTGCATTTAAAGGGGCCGATTTGTGCTTGTTAACTTGTCACAAATAAAAGTAACAATGTTGTTTTTAGAAGAATGTGTAAGATCATTAATGTAAATTAAAAACAGTAGAGGACCTAGAACAGAACCTTGTGTAAAAGTTGGATGAATTATTATTATAAACTACATATTGAGATGATGAGATCTATTACAAAGATTACTTTCAAACCAAGATGACAGACAAATTGGAGTGTTGTTCTAGTTTTGGAGTGGTGAGTCAACACACAGATTACTGAGCTGGGAGACATTGCCAGGCATTGTGCCAGGTGGAGGGGCATAAATCGAAACTTTAAAAAAAAAAAAAAAAAAAAAAAAAATCGGGAAAACGAAACCGTCCAATTGAAAACGGAATCCGCCATGGGCGGTCGGATACCGGACGGTTAAACGTTTGACTACAGCACTACTTCTCATCATCAACAATTTTATAATTTTACAATCGAATCAAGATCTTTGAACGTGTTATTATCATTATTATTCTTATTATTTCTTTTTTTTTTTACTAGAATAGAACCAGATCGATGATCAGCTGATCAGTGAAAATGACTTGATTTTGAATGACAGTTTTTTGCACAAATTTCGGCAAAAATGATACACCATCTTTTTCTAAACTCTACTTTAAAAAATACATAAATTTATTGATCCATGGATGATGGTGCATAAAACAACAAATCCACAAGCTTGTCTATATAGCCTACGCAAATCAAGTTATCAACATCATTTGGAAAATACAAGTTAGATCTAGAGCACATCGATTTTAATGGGTGGGACCGGAGAAACAATAACGACCAAAGCTACAATAAGGCAGTTGGGCATTTCAGATGAAAGACTTGATAATGAGGATCTATAAAAAGAGTTAAACTTACCACTGTGAGCAGTGACAGAAACCATTCCATATTCCAGCGCATCTTGCTTCCTAGTTCTACAGTTCAGTCAAAGCAAGCAACCAACGACGCTAAATAACTTAGAAGTATTGAATTAAGACTATACTAACGATCGACCCGAACCGAACCGAACCGAACATTGCGCAATTATTTGGTATTTGTTGCGGAGGGCGAAATATATTATGTCAAATATCATGCTTGTATATATGGTTTTTGAGTTAGTTGCCACCAGGCGCGGAACCAGGGGAAGGGGGTGGGGGCCGAGCATGCTTTGCCCCCCCCCCCCCCGAGAGAGAGAGAGAGAGAGAGAGAGAGAGAGAGAGAGAGCTAGAGAGGGAGAGAGAGAGAGAGAGAGAGAAGGAAAAGAAGGGAAGGGAAAGAGGAGAGAAAGGGAAAGAAAGAAGAGGAGAGAAGGAAAGGGAAATAAAAAAAGGAAAAAAGGAGATAAAAAGAAGGAATGCTGACGAAGAAGAAAATAAAAGAAAGGGATATCAGTTGCAATTTTCCCGCCAATAAGTTGTGGATCTGGGGGAGGCCGCCGGGGGCAAAAGGCCCTTGCCTCCCCCCGCCCCCGATTAAAAAGAGAGAGAGAGACGGAAAGAGACAGAGGAGAGCTAAAAGGGAACGAAAAAGAGGAAGAAGTAAAGGGTGAAAAGAAGGGGAGATCAGTTGCGGTTAATCCCACCCAGGTCGAAATTCCAATAGGATCCGATAGCCTATTGGACCATCAGAAACCATTAAAGCTATTGGTGTATATTGGTTTCAATACCATGGTTATCATGGTACGCTAAACAATGAAATATATTGTTTAATGACCCAATGTATTTCATTGTTTTGGTACCATGATAACTATGGTTACCATGGTGGATGGTAATTTGGACAAAAGTACCATGGTTACCATGGAAAGTGAAATATTGGACCCACATAAACCAATAGAAAATATCTATTGGACCAACACAAACCCACAGAAAAAAAAAATGCTGATGGACCAACAGAAAACTTCTATTGGACCAACATCCACCCACGTCTTCTATGGGTTTCTGTTGTTCCATTAGATATTTTCTTATATGGGTTTCTGTTGGTCCATTTAATAGAGTTTTTCTATGGGTTCCCTTTAGTCCATTAGAGATCTTTCTATGGGTTTCTAATGGTCCCATTTTCTGAATTCCCTAGTGGTTCACTAGTCCATTGGCTTCTTTTGGTAAATTAATAATGATAAATCAATTTTTTTTTTTAGCAACTGTCCACGAAAAAGGTATATTCAAGTCTCGATTGCATTAACTCCATCACAAAGATCACTTGAAGTGAGTTTAAGAATATCCTTTTTTAACTATTAAAGATGGCCCCTCAGTCCACTGGCGTACCTATGGGGGGGCAGGGGGGGCAGAGTGCCCCCCCTGACGGGCTCCAGGGGAAAAAAGAAAAAGGGGAAAGAAAAGAAAGGGAAAGGAAAGAAAAAGAAAAAAGGGAAAGGAAAGAAAAAAGGAAAGAAAAAGAAAAAAGGAAAAAAAAGAAAGAAAAAAAGAAGAAGAAGAGAAAAGGAAGAAAAAGGGAAAAGAAAAGGAAAGGAATAAAAATGGGGAAAAAAAATAAAGAACATGGCCGTAAGCATCAGGGGGGGAGGCAGTTGACCCCAGATATTTTGAAATCGTACAGTTTTTTTCCTGAAAATGTAGTGTAGGCCTATACCAAATCCTTCAATTCTACTTTTGAAAATGCAAAAGTACCCTCACGACCAGTTCGGTCGCTCGAACTCCCTTCACTCCTTTTGCTTTTGAGATTCTTCGAAAACTTTTAACGCATCTTTCCCCCTTCCCCCATCAGAAAAATATTCCGCATACGGCCCTGAAAAATTAAAACAAATGAAAATAGGAAAATATAAGTGATATAACAAATTTGAAACTCTTCGCTGGCGCGAACTGCTTGCTAGCCTATTTTGTATTAAATGTTTTCACTTCCTCGTCCCCCTGAAAAAAGAAAAGGATTAGTATTGCCTAGAATACAATTGTGCCTGCCCCGACGGGCCCCGACCTGCAACCATGGCAACAATAACACACAATATATGTACCGAATGTTACTAAAAGAGACTAATTCATTTTTCTCGCTCGCTACACTCACCCGCGAATAAAATGAATAGACATTGCTTTGGAAACAATAATTGTGCCCACCCTTGACCTGCAACAATATCATTAAAAATGGAAGAGTTTTTTCGCCCTCTCGCCAAAAAGGAATTGAATCGCGTTAAACGCGATTGCGTCCATCCTGACCTGCACCAATAAAAACAAGTTTATTTATTAATTTCTATTAAAAGAGAATTTATTTTTTTTGCTTGCTCGCTATGCTCGCTCGCCAAAATGGAATTGACACCGCTAACGTGCCCGCCCCAACCTGCAACAACCAGTTAATAATTATGTACGAAACGTTATTCAAAGAAGTTTTGGTGTGCTCGTGCTCGCCAAAACGGAATTAACATCACCTTAGACATGATTGTGTAAGCCCTGCCCTGCAACAAAAAAATCTGAAATTTATGAACCAATTATCATTACAAAAACTTTGCTCGCTCGCTACGCTCGCTCGCCAAAATAGAAATAACACCGCTTTTAATAATCACGTCCCTGACATGGAACAATTAAACCAAGTTTATATACCATATTTTCCCTATAAAGAGAAGTGATTTTTTTTGCTCGCTCGCTACGCTCACTCGCCAAAATAGAATTAACACCGCTTTTAATCACGTCCCTGACATGGAACAATGAACCCAAGTTTTATGTACCATATTTTCCCTATAAAAGAAAAGTGATTTTTTTTTTTCGCTCGCTACACTCGCTAGCTCGTGGAATTATGTGCCCACCACTAACCTGCTACAATATCATTAAAAAAGAGAAATGTAGGGGGTTGCCTGCCCGCCAAAATGGGATTGACATTGCCTTAAACACGATTGTGCCCGCCCCCTACCTGCAACAATGAAACAAATTTTATATAGCAATTCATTGAGAGAAAGATGTATTTTGGCTCGCTAGCTAAAATGGGTATAAAATCACCCTAAACACAATATTGTTCCCGCGCCCTGCATGGGACAATTGAACCAAGTTTAAGTGGCAATTATTAAAAAAGAAGTGATTTTTTTCTTGCTCGCTACACTAGTTTGCAAAAAAGTGAAATTAACGTCGCTAACAAGTGAATGTTCCCCCCCCCCCAACTTGCAACAATACCAGTTTATATACCAAACGTTACTTAAAGATTTTTTTTTTTGCTCGCTCGCTCGCTCGCCAGAAGTGAAAATTAGCATCGCCTTTTTTGTTTGTTTCGGTCGCTTGCCCCCCCTGACGGAGTACCCCAGGTACGCCACTTGCTCATCTGATCGTAATCAAAATGACTAAAACCCTAGAACTTTATGTGGCTCAGCCCCCTGGACCCTACGCCAATAAGACTCCCTGCCAGTGTCACAAAAAAGGTATCAAAATATGCTCATCTGACCGTAATTAAATGCCTAAAACCCCTGAGCATCCGGTGGCTTTGTCCCCTGGACGGCCGGACCCCATTAGGGACCCTAATTAAGACGTGCCCCTTCATCTGACCATAATTAAATGCCTAAAACCCCTAAGCTTCATGTGGCTCAGCCCCCTGGACCCCACGCCATTATTAGTGACATGCTAGTGTCACAAATAAGGTTTAAAAATATGCTCATCTGACCGTAATTAAATGCCTTAAACCATTGAGATTCCGGAGGCTCCGCCCCAGGACCCCACCACGGGCAATAAGACGGCCCCTGAATGTTCATCTGATCATAATTAAATGCCTAAAACTCCTGAGCTTCATTGAGCTCAGCCCCCTGGATTCCACGCCAAGAAAAGGGGCACCGATCAGATTTTAATAGGGGCAATTATCGGAGGTGAAAGGGGGCTTTCATGAGATGGGGAAAGTGCCTCTTATTAAAATGCAAAAGGGGCACATGTTAAAATAAACGGGGCACTTATCAAAGATGAAAAGGGAAAATTATGAGAAAGGGAAGGGGCACTTTTCAAAGTAAAACGAGTATCTCTCAGAATTGAACAGGGTCGTTTAGAAAAAATGAAAAGAGGCACTTTAGTAAAATAGGAAAGGGGGTACATGTAAAAAATAAAGGGTTAAAAAGAGGTAGTTATAAAAAAGGGGGAAGGGACATTTTTTACAAGGGAAAAGGGGAACTTGTCAAAGCAAAAGGGGAACCTCTCAGATTTGAATAGGGCAATCATCAGAGGTGGAGGGGGCGCTTGTCAAAAGTGAAAAGGAGCGCTAATTCCCGTACCTGAAAAAGGGAACTTACGAAAGATTAAAAAAGGCACTTATGAGAATGGAAAATGGACACTCATATAGCAAAGGAAAATGGGAACTTGTGAAAAGAAAAGGGGTACGTGTCAACATAAAAGGGGCAATTATCAGAGGTGGAAAGGGGAAGGGGCACTTTTAACAATTAATAGGGGCACTTGTCAAAGTAAAAGGGGTACATTTCCTATGTAAAAAGGGGCACTTCTTACAAAGTTAAAGGGGGAGGGGGGGGGGGGGTAGGTTGTTGTTCTCTTAATATGTACCGGTCTGTTAACGATTACGATTTTCACAAATACGGCGCCTTTACTGATGTACGCCGCTATGCAGTATGCAAGCCCTGATTTAAAGAGAAGGTTGAGTTCTGGGAAGAGGTGAACAATAATTTGTGAGCGTTATCATTCTTATTATTATTATGCAATTGTGGAAGAACATCAGATAAGACATGTTCCCTGAAAAGCATGGCTCTTCAAATGCCTTCATATCCTAAATATGTCATGTGACATCGTAAAAATCTAGGTAGGATTTTTACCCCATGTGTTCGTGTAGTCCCATACATCTTTCTGTGTACAGTGTTTGTAACTTTACCAAGGCTTGGCCAAATTTCTTATCATTTTGATGATTCCAGAACCTTGCAATACACACACATTCTTATATGCTAGATGATCAACCTTTTCTGGTCGATTCCACACCGTTTCTTTCACAGTGCAATCGCATGACCAGAACTCAACTTCATCTTTAAAGGCAGTATCCGCAGTGAACAAGGTCATGTAAAATTAGGTGAAAAATAGAGTATTGAATTAAA